GAGAGGAAAAAAGCCCAAAGGATCATGGTGACTTGGGAGAGGGATAAGGGGACTTGGAGCAAGCACCTGTGACTTGGAGAGTTACAGCAAGGAGCATAGGATGAGGGATGGGCTTGCCAGATGCAGCACTTCTCTGCACCGGGATTAAATTAAAGGTTAGGAAATTACATATCAGGAGAATTGGAACTGGATGATCTTTCGGGTCCTTTCCAATTCAATCTACTCTATATCAGAGGATATATAAATAATGTAACAGATTAGCATATATCCTATCACATGTTTTACATTACATTATATTATATTTTTATATTTACTGTTCATCATTTAGAGAAACCCAGAAACAAGCGGGTGGCAGATGAAGCCCCCCAGCCCCAATCCCAGCCATGACACATCCATGGACTCAAGGATGCTGGAAGGACACAAGACAAAGCTCTGGGGGACTGACAATGGATCCCAGAATCAGTGAGCTTGGAAAAGACCTCCCAGACCATCGAGTCCAACTCGTGCCTGATCCCCACCTCATCCTCAGCCCAGAGCACTGAGTGCCATGTCCAGGTGTTCCTTGGACATCTCCAGGGATGGGGATTCCATTGCCTTCTGGACAGTTCCAGTGCCTGACCACCCTTTCTTTCCATGAAGAAATTCCTCCTGACGTCCAACCCGAGCCCACCCTGGCACAGCTTTGATCAGAGATGTCCTTCATTTCACTAACGTGCTTTGAAACCTTCCTATCCTGCTGATACCACTTCAACAGCTCTTGGCATATTGATTTTTATTAGTGCAATTTATGTGCTCTAAGCATCATCCTCTTCCCTCAAACATGAGCTGCATTTGATGGCATTCTGCCAAATAATAAATCAATAACTTGTGCAGCTTGTTCTTTCTCCACGGGTCATGTGGCCAGCAGCTGACAGCAACATTTCTCAGAGGGCAGCCACTCTCCCATCTCCAAGGAAAACAGAAATTTGAACCCAGCCTCCCAGGCATCAATGGTTGACTTCTGATGGTTGGCTTTTGTCTTCAGAGGCAATAAAGAGGCATTAATGCCTAACCAGTGATGAGATACAGAAAAAGCCCTGGCTGGAAGGGCAGGAAGAGTGTTCCAAGCAGTAGGAGAGAGACCCTTTTTCATAATTTATTTTAAATTTAAATATTTTAGATTGATGCTTTTTAAAATTAATTCACTCCCAGATTAATTTCTATATCTAATATTTAACTAAAATATCTAAACTCATTCTAGAGTGTCATGTTCCCTGGGGGCTGCTGCTCCTCAGAATCATGAGGTGAAATCACACCTTCCACCAAACACCACCACAATTCAGTCCAGACTATTGGATTTCTCCACCTATTGCACAGGACCAGTAAACCCTATAGACCTCCCTAAATATTTACAGAGCTTTGGATGGCTGAGCAAACATTCCAGAGGATGCATTATCCTGATGAAATTCAGTTTTTTTAGTCTGAGCAGGGTGAGATTTGCTGCCTGGGACATCGAGCTCACCAGGGACCCCACCTGAAAATAGACTTCACTGAACACCTGAGCTCCTACCAGTTGTCTGTACTCCAAATTCTGTAATTTTTTCAGCCTCAACCTTGGTTATTTATCGATTTTTTTAAACAATAAAAACATACCCTTCAAACTGAGGTTTGTGAGTAAGCAAAAGCTGGAAAAAGAGGTAGAAAAGAACTTTAATAGCAAGACCTGTGGGATGAAAACTACAGGATGAGTCTTCAATGTTTGCAAAGCATCAGCTGAAACAGGGAAATGTGGGTGAGGTGGAGAGAACCAGATGAGCCTCGGCAGGGATGGGAGAAGATTGGTGAGGACAAAGATGGCAAAGTCCGGAGAATGGGATACATAAAGAAATAAAAACTTGTATTCCTGGCCCTTAAACTGCCAAAGATCTGGAAACTTGGAGGAAACTCAGATCATGGGTGGTATGGTACTGGTGACCTCCAAACTAAATCTTCATCCACGGCAATTATTTAGCACAATGCCCTAAAAACACTCAAACAAAAGACAAGGTGGAATGCAAAATTGCTGTTTTCCTCTCCCAGAAGCACCTGGGTGTTCTCTGATTTTCAGGGCAGCTCTGGGCTTATCTGCTCTGCACAGGAGGCCACTTGATGAGGGCACAGAGATGGAGCTGGGCCGGGGGACAGAAAATCACTGCCAAGGTGATGCTCTGACAGCACCCAGTGAGTCCCAGAGCAACAGGGACACGTCACCCAAAGCCACCAGCCTGAGTGAGGGATGGCAAAGGACTCCCCACCCTCGTCCTGCCCAGAGTGATGAGGCAGCAGCTGGAACCTCCAGGAACGTGCAGTGCCCAGGGAGGAGAAAAACACCTTTGCTCCATGACAGGGCAAGGTTACAACTCCTGCCATCTATTTCTACATTAATAAATAGATGATCACCAATCCAGATCCAAGACTAGGCCAGGATTTATAAAGCCTTTACCCTCATCCTGTGGTCAGCTGCAAGAGAGGAGGTTGCTCCTGCAAAAACCCCCTCAGTCACAGTACAAGAGCTGCTGTATTTTTGGGAGAAGCTGAAGAGAGGGGATGCCATTGAGGATGCCTCGGTGGTTGTTTGCAAACCACTGGAAATAGTGTCATCTTCAGACAAAAGGTTTAAAAAAAGATTCACCAGACACATTGTATTAGATTTCACCATGGAAAGAAAAGGGAATAAAGGTTAAAATAATCCCAGGGCTCTCCTAGAGGACTGTGGTGGGTATTTTGGTTTCCATAATATCAAACAGCACGTCATGGCAACAATTCCATCATGGCTAAATGCAGTTCTGGCAGACAAATTCTATTAGGATTTCAAGAAAAATCCTTGGTGACTAATTTTGTCACTTATTTTTTTGGCAGAAGTGTCTGAGTATCTCAGCAACCTCTCTTCAGCCTCCAGCAAGCTTTGGAGAGCTGAGGATTCAGAGAAGGATCTATGCATTTCAGGTCCCCATCACCAAGACATGAAAGAAACCCTTAAAAAGACACAATCACCTCACATAAATTCGTATTTTGAAGTAACAGAACTATTCAGCTCCCTAGAAACACAATATTAACTCCCTGGTCTTAATTTGTAGACTCGTGACTATCATTAAAAACACTTTGGGCCAGTGTGAGGAAGGAAGGACATTCTGAAGGCCCAAGATCTGAATATGTATCCTTGAGTTTTCTTTCCATTTTTTCTTTCTGCACTCCTCCACATGCAGATGGAATTCCAGGGAAAGTAAATGGTTAAACCACCTAATTCATTCACCCAAGGATCAGCGTTCATGCAGCTGCACAGATTATTTGTATTTCTAGACTCAATCTATGCCAAGATGTCTGAATTTTCTAGCAGCAGTGCTCCAGCAGGATCCAGGAGGATGACGTGCTCTGGCATTAAGAATTGGAATGGGCCCTTTGCAGTGTGATGGTTCCACAAGTGCTCCTCCTATCCACACAGCATACACTGACTGCAGCCACTTCACATGCTTGACAGATTTCCATGAGAAAGCTAATTAGCTCTGAAGCTGCTCCAAGAAGAATTATGGATTGCTGCACTCAGGACCTCTGTGTATCCCCCAGTGCTTGGGGGGAGCATTGACCTGCTAAGAAATCCCAGCCCAATAACAGGAATTCCCTCATAGGTGATGGCATCTTGGAGGAGGCTGCTGAACCCCCACCTCATGGAGGAATCATCTGTCTCCAGCTTTCAGGAAGGATCTTCCCTCTCCGAGTCTCTTCTAGGAAGTGTATGGTAATGTTTATAAAAAAATCCAGCTGGTTTGGCTTTGTGATAGTATCAAAATTTGCATTTTTATGGTGGACAATGGAGTATCTATTGAGTAGGGTGCACCTGCACACAAAGGCCACTTAAAAAACTGAAATTAAATGGCTTTGAGCAGCTCTGCTCCACCTTATTGATCAAAACCAGGGATTAAACAGAAACCACCAAACTCATGAACAAACACTCCCTAAGTAACCCACTCAGGGACATATCACTTATTTTTTGAATATCCTCATATTCAAGGCAACTTTTTCTTCTGAATTTTCCAATCTCTGGAGAAGTCCAAAATGAAACTATCAGGGTTTTTGGGAAGGGCTGGATTATTTCTGTAATGATGATAAGGAGGGTTACTCCTTGGCCTCCCCCAAGAAAGATTTCACCTGGAGAGAGGACATGCAGCCTGGCATGTAAAGAAAAAGGCATTTTGAAGGTCTCTAACATATTTCCTGTGTTACACAGCCCAATAATACTTGTCCATCCATGAAACAACACATGGATGTTGAAAGAAACTTTCCATTTTCTTGTCCTGCTTGTTGTTGGATAACAAATGAAGAAGCCTCCTCCCATCCATCTAAACCATCTTGTGTGGGTCACCTGCTGGACTGCAGCCTGTGTTTTTGTTATCTCTCTTAAGTGCATTACTTTGAGGCTAGAAAGCAACACCCTGTCTTAAGAAACGTAAAGCAAAGCCTAAAGTTCAGTCTTGCCTAATCTGCCAGGGCTATTGAAGGTCATAATGCTCTCAAGTCTGACCTTAGAGAACACATGAGAGTGACATTTCCCCTCCCTCTCCACAAATCAACACTGGAAGGCAAAAAACCACTGGAAGATTGGGGTGGCTTTTTCACTAGATATCAAAAAATAACTTTCATATGATATCAAATAGTATGGCAGCATATCCAGGCAAAGGCAAGGAAGGAATTGCTCATTCCTTGATGGGCCCTCTGAGCACATATCAAGGAGACAACAGAGCAGTGGTTAAAGTCTTCATGAAGTTTTTGGATGCCAAAATGTTTATTTTAAACCATCAAATGTGTGGCTGGATATTACTTTACAGGGGGAAGTTCATCATATGGTCAATTAGAAGTTAAATTTGAATAATTCAGTGTACACTCCCTAACAAAACATAATTAAAGGGACAATTTCAAACTTTATCAGGGCCACAAAGTCATGTCAATACTCAATGGCATCAGGGAGTAAATATTTCTGGGCTTACCTGTTCCAGTTTAAAGATGTGTTGGTTAAAGTAGTGCTGCAAGCGCTCGTTGGCAAAGTTAATGCAGAATTGTTCAAAACTATTGTTTTCATAGTCTTCAAATCCAAAAATATCAAGCACCCCGATAGATAAAGTCTGCAAGAAAAGTAAGAGTGAGGATTAGAATAAAATCACATAAAGTGGATTATTTGTACACAGTACCTGATCAAAAGCACACAGGCAGAATTAAATATACTTAATAGCAGGAATTTCTCTGGAATTGTTGATATTGTGCCATCTGGAAGACTCCTCCAAATCAGAGAGATAACATGTAACTTCAGATATGTGACAAAAGGGCATCTTCTAAGAGAAAGCCCTTTGAGAGGTGAATTTTTTTCTTATTTACTAACAAATGGCCATCTTTGAAGAAACCTCAACCCTGTTCCAAGTTATTCTATTGGATTTAAGAGTATTGATCTTCAGAAAGGAAAATGGGGATAGGCTTGGGAAACAAAGGCTTGCACTGTGAAGACAACCCACAGGAACACACCTCCAAGGTGGGTGCATTGTCCAAGCAAACCTCAAGAAGAAACTCCTGCACATCATGGCTTCCCATGGAAATAATCTTTACTTCCCCTGGTGAAAACTAAAATAGTATCACAAATAAAGCATCCACCTTGTTTATCAGATGGATCAGACAGTGGACTGATGTTTGGGAGCACCGAGTCACTCCTGCCTCACTGAAAGGGGGGAATTAACACAAAAATAATAATGCTGCTGAAAAAGGGAGTCCAAAGCCCTGACTAACACTCAGCCCTAACTGCTGGCCCAGCCCTGCCCATGTGATGTTCCCCTGGGACACCTGGCAGTGTCCCCATGGCTATTCTGTGCTCTGGCACCTTTTTCCACCAGCTCATGCCAGTTTGGGATGAGGGATATGGATGAGATATGGAGATATGGAGAGACACCTCTGTGCTCCTTTAGCTCATGGGCAAGAGAGTTGTAAAGAGGGACCCATCTCATTTTTTTTGAGCCCATTGGCACTATGAGCCCTCTATTCTCTCTAATGAATCTCCAGAATTTCACAATAGGGAAGTTTTTTCTTTTATTAAGTCCATAACCCATAATATAAATTGCAGGATTTGGTGAGTTATGATTCTAAATAGCCTTTTTTCCCCATCACTTTGATGATTTTGTGAACCTCAGCCATATCTCACCCCAGGCTTTTCCCCAAATTGAAGAGCCAATGCCTGTTTGGTCTCTAATCTACAATTACCTCTTGAGATGCTCATTAAGATGTGGGTGCACCAAGGTTTCCCATGTTGGCAAAGTGAGGTCAATGGTGCAGTGAATTCCCAGCTTGCTTTGCATCCTCCTGCCCCCCTCCTCTCCCCACACCAGCCAGGCAAGGAGAGGCAGTGGACCTCTGGCCAGGTGTATGCTGGCCCACAGGTGAGTACAACCCATCACCTCCTGGCTTGATGCGAGTAGAAATGTGGAACTTTCTCCTTTGTGTAGGTGCTGGTTTTCATAAAATTTGAGCCTTCTGCCTGTCAGATGGATTTGGGAAACTCAGAGGAAGAGGGACATGGGGATGTGTCAGCAAATAAACCTCATCCACAGAGGGAGCTGGGGTGAAAAACAAGCTCAAGATACAGTTTCTGCGGCAGCTTCCAAGCCTGTACATGACTGTTGTGTTAAACACCTAACTCATAAATAAAACTCATATTGTACCTACCCAGAAAGGCTGCTGTCATCACAAAAGGAGTGAAGAGCCTGGAGGACTCACTGGGGGAGTTCCACCAGCAGTTTGTTAGCACATCCTGCTCTGGGATCCAACCAAAGCCACCTCGCCTCATGCAAATACTCCATTCACCCGTTATAATTCATTAATTAATTAATAGGAGAGGTAAAAGCATTAGCACTGGTCAAATGAGTCAAACCTCAAGTAGGGAGGAGAAATATCCCCTCCCCTCCACTTCAAAGGACCCGAGAGCTGCCAGGTGCCCTGGTTTTACTTCTATTGGTGTTACCTGCACTCTGGATTTTCTAAGACTTCCTTGCTAGAGACTGGCTTAATTCCACTGCCAGGAATATAAACCAGACTGTCCACAGGCCTCTCCACACTACCTTTTGTCCATTTTCAATACATCACATAATGTAGGAGGAAAATATTCCTTCTGTCCCCGACTGCTGAGCAGGGAACCCCCACGGCTGCAGCAGGCACGGCTGCTGTGGGCAGACAGGGCACTCAGCTGTGAGCTGGAGCTTTGTCTGGCCTGGACTCTGGCAAAAACACAACACAAAGCATTTAAGCACAAAGATAAGTCTCTAACCCCTTTCCAAGAGCTCCTTTGACTACTTCATCCTTTGTCCAGGCTTTTCTCCCTGTTCCAGGGCCAGTCTCTACCTCCCTGATGCCGTGACAAGGATGAAGGCCCTTGGCCACTTTCCCAGAAGTTTGCATCACTTGGCAAAGCACTCATGAGAAACAGCTCCTTGACCAGAAGATGGAAACTGGGAACCACTGGACCAAGGGCTGAGCCTGGCAGAGGGATTCACTTTCACCCACTGCTTCCTGAGGTCCAGCATCTTCTCCTGCTTGTCCCAATGGACGTGGCAATGCTTTTGTTCAGAAATCTGCCTCATCCTTTTTAAAATGCATCTTAGGAGGAATTCTTCTTAAACACTCTGTATGATTAATGGATCACATTTTATCTATATTATCCATGGAAAAACTGAGGACGGAAACAGGACAAAGTGACTTTTTTACATCTGCCTTCACATCACCCTTGCAAATCCTAACCCCAACCACCCCACTGCTGTTCAAGCTCAAGTTTCAAAAAATTCCTCGACATAAAAGTCTCTATTCCACCATATACAAACCAGACTTGGAAGATAAAATGCTCACACTCCAGACTATTCATGGATTTACTGACACCAGCTTTCAAAAGCATCGTGTTGATGCCCTGTGGAAATAGTTAAGCCCCTGCCATGAGTGAAGACTTTAAGCTGAACAAGGTCTTTAAGCTCTCACAAACTTAATTTAATATGAAACAACTGAGCACAAAAACCCTCTCCCTTTTTTCCAATCCTGGTTCATTTACTGCATTGAAACCCCAACCAAATACATTTCAATGTGGGCGTGGAAATACAGTTATAAAGCAAAACAGAGGAGTCATATATAGCAAAAAATAGTCCTGTCAGTTATAAAAGAATCTTGTGGAAATATTATATTTTAAAGCTGTGTTTTTACATTTTTTTTTGCTGACCCCTAAAATTAAACAAACACAGAATATAAAAAATAATCTGCATTTCACAAAACCACTGCAGGTATCAAACCAATGTCCAGGAAGAGGATGGTTAATTCTGCTGTGGTTGCTGTACAGGGTAAAACAGCATTTTTCTCACATCCCTGTGTTTGTAACTCCCGAACTCCTCCAGAATACAGATTTTAAACTGTGTGCTTTTTTGCAGAGTTTCATGCCAGAGAAATCCAGGCAGAGCTCTGCAGTGAAGCAGCCATTTGTCCTCCGCCACAATGCTCCCAAAAGAACGAGGCCAATGGATGTCACTTGGGAAAACTCTAAAACCTGAGAAATTTGGAATTTATGGCTGAGTTTTCTGTTCTCTGTCCCTGATAAAGCAGCACAAATGTACTAGTACAGAGTCAATTCTTGTAGCAAGGTGAAAAAACACCATTTCTATTGACATGTAGAGGAATTAATTTTGCTAAACTGCCTGTAAAAAGTGTAATCTGGGTGGGTTTAGGATGAAATTTGCAGCCCAATATTTTAAAAAAATAATCGAAGGAGTTTAACATTTACAAATCTTTTAAGTCTTCAGCTTCAAATCCATCCTTTGAATAGGTGCCATGAGGAAATCACATAAAGATAATTTAGACCTCAACTTGCCAAGTCTAGTTTGTGTGTTAATGCTGTCTCTTTATCTAAAATAATATATAAAATTAAAAAGTGTGACTGTATTCATTAGCATATCAAAATTCCTGTGATTAAAAGTGTATATCTGTGAAGATTTTTAAAATTTGGGTGAACTCTGGGTCAGTGAGCACTTCTGCTTGCAATGATGAAAAATGACCTCATGCTTTTCTTAAAATGTCTCAGCCATGACAACATTTAAACACAGAGCATGAGTTTTAAGGACTTTTGGCAAATGATGGCCTTGAAGCTCCGTGCTCTCCAATTCCCAAAGTGCCAATAAATAGGGATCATTTGAGCTGATTTATGTTGCCCCATTGCATGTTGGTGATGTAATTCCACCATGGAGGTATATTTTGGCAATCACAAATAGGTTTGCTTCAAATTTAGGGGAAAAAAATCTTGTTTATTACTCTTTTTAATTTTTTATCTCTTTTCATTTTAGTAATTTCTTTTCATTTACAATATTCCAAAGCTGATACTGTAAAAAAATCTCTTCCCAAAACAGCCCCAAAATCCATCACCACTTCATCCAAAAGGACCACTCCAATCTACATCACCCCAATACACATGATGACCTATTATATAAAGTGAAAGGCAGTGATTTGCTACAAACTTGGAAGCTGGGACCTAAATTTAATGAACTGATGCACATTAAATACATTGCATGTTCAGCAATTCTTCCTCTGCTTCAGGTCAAAAAGCTAAGAACTAACTGGTTGGTTAAATTTGAATGAATTTTCTTCATGGCCATGAATCCTTCATGAATTCAACCAGGAATTTTTCTTCATGGTCATTAATTGTCATAAATTTTCTTCATAGCCATGAGTTCTTCATGCATTCAACTGCAAATTTTTTTCATGGCCAATAATTTAAATTTTCTCCCCAGCCCTGAGTTCACCATCACCTCCACATATGCAGCACATCATCCAAAAACAGCAGCAGGGTGATTTGGGAAGAAATTAAGACCCTTCACAAGAACCAAATGGGAAAAGATTAAAAACACCCTTGGAAATGGCTTTTGATCCACCACTCTATCATCATTTGAAGAAGTGAGATGGACTTCTAGCAATTCCTAACCTGATTTATGGAAGGGGAATGCAATAAGAGGCTCTGGGAGGTTTAGTAATCTCGTTCTCAAGAGAAAGAAAAGTCTCCAACCTCATTAATAAAGGTCACATTTCAGACAGTTTGTAGGGAATCATGAGAACATAAAAGGAACTAAAAGAAATTGAGAGAAGATGAAGAAAAAGAGAGTCAGAGCAAATCTGACCCATGGCAGCTCTGCCATTACCATAAACCAGGAGGTATCAAATAACTTATTCACAACTCAGATCAGAAATAATATGCTACAAATCCTGTCACCAAGCAAGATAAGCCAAATCCCACTGCGTTTTCCCAAAATATTTCACTGTACATTTAACTAAATTTGGATATCAAAGGTCTGATTTACATCTTCCAAATATTTGCTGGACAATATGGAGGAACAACAGCTGAGTGTTTATTTTTCTTTGCCCAGCTTCATCTTTTGATCATCTCCTTACTGCTGATATCAAATAAACACATACTGGGATCTGAAAATTATCTTGGTTCCCATTGTCCCACTAAGATCGAATCTACACTCATGAAGAAAGAAACTTCTGTATTAATTTTTCTTCTCAATTTCCCCCAAACATACTCTGAATTGAGATGGTTTTGAGTCTTGTTTTACCTCTGCATAATGTGATTATTATAAAAGGAAGCTCTGTGCCCCAAATTCATCATCTGACACTTTCTGAACCTTCGAAACCAGCAGGAATGTTTCAAAATGTATCTTAAAAGTCAGAGGAATATCAGTGTCAAGCATGGGTTGGGATTAATCTGGGACATTTGCCACAGGATGAATCACATATTATTTACCCACTGCACACTTGGGAGTTTCTGAGGTGCTAGGCTGTATTTTGCTCTCATAAATCAGAGACTTGGTCTGTTGAAGTGATATTTTTTGGCTGGTGGATGCCAGGAGGGAGATGTCATCCAAGTGCCGAGGTCTTGCCTTGCAGCAAGGGGGTATTCCCAGGGTTTGGAGAAGCCACTGCTCCCAGTTCACCTCCCAGTTACTCATTGGTGGTGCCCAACCTCGAAACAACATCTGGGAGGCTAAGAAGAACCTGCATCCTCATCTGGGGTTTCTCCAAGAGCGAGCTGAAAAGGATTTCAGGAGGACTGGGAAGGGGCAGGAAAAGCCATATTAGCCATGGTTGGCTCCATTTCTCTGTGGTGGTGATCCTTGGTTGGTGCCTCCATGGCAGCTGCAGAGCCCAGGATGTCCTTGGACACTTGTTGGCAGCAATGTTATTCCTCGAGGGCAAAGGAGCAGCTGTTCCCAGCCCTGCCCAGTCCAGGGAGACATTTCTGCTCTGCCTCTACTGAAACAACCCAAGTTGGGGGCTAAAAATAGGGCTGAGGAGGTGACGTGGTGGAACTGCTCAAGAGAAAATTGGCTGGTCAATGTTTAACGAAGCTGCTTTGAAATGCACATAAATCTCTTCTTTACAGTCTCCACCCCTAAAATGGGGAGGATTTGGGCATTTTCATGATTTCTGGGGAATTTGTGGGAATCAATCCAATTAATAGAGGACTCTGAAGATAAACTGAACTACACTTGTGCCTACTGCAGCACACATTTCCTGTTATTTTGTGCACTGCCCTTCTGCTTCAGAAACTCTGGCCCAAGTACAGCCTAGGATTACTTCCCTGGATCTGGGTACGAGCACATTCCTGCAGCTCAGGGTGCTGGGCATTTGCCAGCATGGATGTGCTCTGGCACAGAGGCAACCCCACTCCCAGCTCCTGGTGCCTGCTGCCTGACCTGGATATTACCATTACGATTTGGGGGGGAAAAAAGGGGTCAGAAACCTGCGAATTGTGAATTCATGAGAGGACACATGGAGGTGGGCGAGAGGGAAGGTGGTTACACTCCATGGGAGTCTTGGCTGGAGGAAGCAGAGGGTTAATGTGCAGCAGCAATGCTGGAAAAAAAGCAGGAATTTGGGTTGTTCTGGCTCTTACCTGCTGAGATTTGAGGTTGTGAACAAAAGTTTAATGGCCCATAAACAGCTACTGTGGTGCCTCACTTTCACAGCCATGCTGAGTAAGCATACACGAGTGTCCTAGACTGATTTGTATTTAAATATTATAGAACAGATAATAATTTTTAAAAAAATCATTGGGTCATTAATAAAAATAATTAGCATTTGAGATGCATTTCCTTGTCAAAACAAACCCACTTTTCTGCTTCACCAAATATGTAAACAGTGTGGTTTGTTTTTTCCTGACAAAACTTTAGATGACTTGGAAAAAAATCAGGAAAGGACACAACATTTGTGGTAAAATATTAAACAGAGGGAGAGGCAGCATGTGCAGTCAGAAGGCTCACTGGATGTTATCACTGTAACAACCCTTCTTTGTCAGAAAAGCATATAACCAGATTTCATAGGCATGTTTTTATTTCCAGTCCACAATTACACTGCACAAGCCTTTTTAGGAATTAAATAAAGGAGTGACCACACTGTGAGTCTCTGCAACTTCAGTCCTACGGCACAGTCCAAATGTCAGTGCTTAGTGCAAATCCTCCTTTTGGCAGCTCTGACCTTAGTTTGGATGCACAACCCCCAAAAACCCCACATGCTGCTGGACCATGCCCAAGATTCCCAAGCCAAGGGGAGCTGGAGAGCTGGAAGTGCTTGTGTGCATGGACACAGATTTTGGGGTCAGTATCCCCCAGTCACGAGGAGTGTGGATGAGTACACAAGAGGGTTAGAGAGGATGTCCTGGGTCACAGCATCCAGACCCTGCTGTTGCAGGAAACTTCATGTCATTCTTTCCAATAATTCTTTGGGAAGGTGGTACAGCATTGCACTGGCTCCACTCTTCCCATCGTGACTTTTTTTCCTTTAAATTAATTTTTCTACCATACTACCTCAGTACTTACAGACACCCAGCTCGTTCATCTTTCCTCATGGAGCAACTTCATCAAAACGTGGCAGCAAGAATTCCCTTTATCTTCCCTCAATTATACATGGTCCTCTAGTTTTACACATTCGGAGGAAAATTATTTGCCATTGCTCCTGGAGTGGGTGGGGGCCCTGGTTTTTGTGGCTACAACTAAATCTCCTCCCTGGTTGCTTTGAGCTTATTACATTTAAGGTGCTTCATCCTTCTCAGCTCAGCAAGCACTGCTTAGAATAATGATGTACTCAGTTATGATCCGAGGAAAAATTAACTTCATGTTAAGCAACATGCCTGGATAATGTTTTATCACTAAGTTATCTATTTTAAAAACCCAAGAGAGGAGCCAAAAGAACTGGTGAGATGTTACCTTGGTGCTTTCCTCCATATCCTTGGAGTTGAGGAGTGCATGGTTGATCCTGAACACGATCCAGTCAAACAGGGCACTGTACAATGACTTGGCCATGGAATTCCGCACGGTCACAGCCTGAAACAGAAAAGAAAAAAAGGTGATTGGAAATGATTCCAGCTCTGCACTGAAATGGCTTTTGCTTCTCAAGCTCCCACATCCAATGTTTGTATTTGTCCCATGCCAAAGCTTTCGTCTGCTATTTTAATTTATGCCACGAATGCCAACAGTCCTGACAGCACCGGGAACTGGGTGTAATCCTAGGGCTGTGGGATGTCACCCTGACTTTGGCTTGGCTTCTTTCATGCATTCGAGTGGATGATACATGAAATCACACCACAAATCCCATCACTGGTGGTGAAAGGAAAGAAAATAAATACATACATTAAATATAAATATAATAAATTCACCAAGATCCTTGAAAGGTTTCCTGAGGGAGAAGGAAAGAGAAGTGTAGATATTGCCCAGGAGCGACAGCAAGCGATGTGAAACCATGGGCCAGGATGCAGAAGAGCATCAGCAGAAGAGCTGACACCAGCACCAGCAGAAGAGCTACAAAAGGGGAGGCTAAAAACCCCTCTAGTAAATCTGAGGGTTTCTGAAAACTTGAAGTTTTTCAGGTACCACCAGCGGGAGCTACAGATCACAGCAGGCAGGTTCAGTGCTCCTCCAGCAGCTCTCCCAGAGAGAGGAATACCAGTGCCAAGGAAGGGTCATCCCCACCATGGCTGGGATCAAAGAGATGCTGCTTGATGGGATGAAAGCTGAGATCAAAGAAAGATCCCTGGGCTTTCGGACAGGCACCTACATAGAGACCCAGACAACAGGAATTCCTATTTAAAGGTTATCTTTGTTCTTGCTGCTTGGGATTCTTCCTTGGTTTTCAATTATCACCTTGAGTAGAGCTTTGGTATATATTAATCACCTAAAAACTTATGGTACCAGCCATGACTGCTACATTTTGGTTCGTTTTAGCTACTGCAGAAGAATAAAAAAGGGACCAGAAGATTCCCACATAATTATTCCAATCAAACCCTGAACTGTAACAAATCAGTGGTTTGCCACACATTGTCTTGAAATCCTTCTCACCAACACTCCCTTCGAGGAACATCATCTGAGTGGCCTCATGTCACTGACCCCAAGTGAAGGAATAAAGCTCACGTAGCATCATTTATCTTCCATCAGCTTATTCCTCCCTCTTTTTCCTTGATTTTTGGACACAGCAGCATTTAGCGTGACCACAAGCCATTTTGCCAATGTTTTGCTCTTAAAACGCAATTAAGCACATGTTCTCACTTCCTCTCCCTGTCCAGCTGGAATAGGAGAAAGGATTAACACAGTCCATGCCAGGGGAGGTTTAGGCTGGATGCTAGGAAAAATTTATTCATGGAAAGGGTTGTCAGGCACTGGAACAGCTGCCCGTGGCAGGGGTGGAGTCCCCATCCCTGCAGGGATTTAACAGATGTGTGGATGTGGAACTTGGGGACATGGGCTAGAGGTGGCCTTAGGACTGCTGGGGGATGGTTGGACTGGATGGGCTCAGAGGGTTTTTCCCACCTGAACAATTCCATGGTTCTATGACTGAGGATGCTCACAGCCTCTGTACGCTGCTAACCATAACGTGGTGGCAATAAAAAGTGACATCACGAGGTAACTACAAAATATGGCCATAATTAGCAAGGAATTCCTCACCCAAAAAACAAGCAAAAACAAGTATGTGATGCAAAAAGGTGAGCAGCAGGACGGAGAGGATTTTGGTGTAGCTCAGACCAAAACAGCGCTTTTAAAGGGTGAGCTCTTGAAATGCCTGAGTTCTCCAACAAGGGCTGGAAAGCAGCCGGCATTTCAAACACAAAGAGCCCTAGTTCCCACTAACTGCTTTTTCTTCCCTTTACTGATGAAAAGGGTTTGGGGAGGGTTTTTTTGGCTGTTTTTATTAAAAGCAACACGGGTTGTTTGGAGGGGGGAGGTTGCTGTCTAATTTATTTTTTTTAATTTGCTCAAATGTGAGAGAATATTTCAGTGATAAATAGAATATTCAAGGCAAATTTTCTATCCCTATGCTTCATCTACACTTTTTTTGATTAAGCTGGAAGACAATTAGTGCCACTGTCACACCAGAAAAATCAGTCTCTGGGGAAAGACAAAGGCTGAGATCCAGGAATGCCTCTCACTACCCTAATGCTTTGTCCTGGCATAAACCAGCCCAATCAATTGCTCCAATGTGCAATTAAAAACAAACTCCATCTCTACTTAAAGCCAACAAGAACATCGTTATTTCTCCTACAGCATCATATACAGGTTTATCTTGCAATACTTTTCATTATCTTTTATTAGAGGCTAGAGGGATGTACAGGACTTCCCCCCTGAATGTCCCTGTTTTGTTCTTTTTCTCCAAAATAAACGAGGATATCATTAAGCCTGCATCACTCCAGTGCTGAGGAATGCTGGGAGTGTGACTGCCACGAGTGTCCTGAGAGGTCAGACTGGGAAGTTTCCCTGACACCAGCACTCCCAGCTTCCTCCAGAGTGTGCAGGGTGGGGGATCAACTACTGCTCTTATTCCCAGGGTGGTCTCTACATGGAAAGCTGGGAAGCCCAGGAAGAGGTGATTTCCTTGCTATGCTTGGGTCCCACACTCTGAGGCCCATATCCCAAAGCTACTTTTAGAAGTGATGGTTTAATCCCAAGAGCTGGTAGGAAACTCCTGGCAAAGCAACATACTGGGAAGACAGGGTGGAGCACTTTGTCTTCATCCATTTAAAAAATGCTTGCATTGAAATGAACCTGTTTTAAATAACTCAGAGTTTAGGGGGGGCCTTCCTTTGTTTGAATTTTTAAATTTCATCTCAATAAAATATTTACTTTTTAGAACAGATCTTCACTGACATCACATTTTAAATAAAGCCCCTCGCTATCCTAAACAGATTCCAAAACTACCCAATCTGAAGATCTGAATAATATCAGGGAAGATTATTTCTTTTCAAATTAAGAAGCTGCAGCAGAGCATTTAAAGTAAGATTTTATGCTTTATTTAATGAGAAATTATTTATTTCTGTACTGTTCTACATATCTTAAATGAATTCTAGTCTCTGAACTATATCCCATACATCACATACAACTTGTCTTCAGGTCAACACCTAAAGCTTTTGGTCTCTTCCACAGATCTCCTTATGTGACATTTAGGCAGATCTGGAACATGGTGATACTCATCAAACCATTTTTGTTTCCCTCACAAAGCAAAATAAAAATAGCTGCTGCAATGCCAAAACAAATCTCTGGGGATCAAAGGGAGAGGGACATGTTGCACCCACTCAAAAATATTGCTGATTCCAAACGGAGACAGATCAAACGTGCTTTGACCTGGCATGCAAGGAAATAAGCTACAGACAAGGTTTTAATCGATAGTTTCCTGCTTATCAAGCTAGAAAGGATCTATATATTATTTATTATATGCCAGAAAGTTCACTTGTCGGGTTGGCCAACTTTTGTTAAGATTCTGATGTAACATATTTGAGTTTTTTGTAAGATTTTATTGCCAAATTAATTGTTCTGAAAGTTGTCATGATCAGCATCAGATTCAGGCCACCTTAAAAATAGATAAACTTCTGGAAACATCTTCTGTTGAAAGGAACAAAGGGAAGACAGGCTTAAGAATTAAAATCTGCTTTTGAGTGCTTTGGAACAAAGACTTACAGTTCCAGCAGCAGCAGCCTGTGTTTTAGAGGCTGGAAAAGATGTAATCTTAGGAACCCAAATTTGCTCAAATTAAAAGTCTCTGTAAAACACATTTGTACACATTCAGGAGATTCTTAAGAAATAAGATTACAAAGTCACTAAATATATTTAAGCAAATCTGTCTGCTGCCATCCCACAGCACCCCCTGCTCCAGGCAGATCCATCACTCCTGCCCTTCTGCATTCAGCTGAGGGCTGAAATTTCAAGATGGAATTATTCAAAATATTTGCTGGCACCCAGAAAAACCAGGGAAGGCAAGAGGGTTAAAATCTCCACCAGTTTAGTCATTGGAAACTACAAGAAAGACATTGTGGGGCTGGATCCAGAGATGGGAAGGGAGCTGGGAAAGGCTCTGGAGCACCAGGAGCAGCTGAGGGAGCTGGGGGGGCTCAGCGTGGACAAAAGGAGCTCAGGGGGGATCTTCTGCCTCTGAAAAACTCTGACAGGAGGGGACAGCCATGGGGGAAAGCCGGGCTCTGATCCCAGGGAATGAGGGACAGGACAAGAAGGAATGGCCTCAATCTGTGTCAGGGGAGGCTCAGGCTGGTGAGACACTGGCACAGGATGCGCAGGGAAATGGTGAAGTCTCCATCCCTGCAGGGATTTAAAAGCTGTGTGGATATGGCACTTGGGGACATGGATCAGTGGTGGCCTTGACAGTACTGGGGAATGGTTGGACTTGATGATCTTAGAGGACTTTTCCAACCTAATTGATTCCATGATTCCAAGATGCTCAGCTAACTTTTTACAGACATTTTCACATGATTTTGCTGGAAGTTCCCTCCACGTTCATTATTGGATTCAGTGTTTTTACTGCTGACTAACCTAACATGAACAAGAGCAGCAATAGCTCAATTTGAGCAATAAAACCTCCAATATTTATACATTTTTCAGACTAAGGAGAATAAACAAAGACCAGAGAACAGAGGATGGGTGAAAGCAAGAGCTGAAGCTCTTTGAAAGGCAAAGAGCAAAAATTGCAGCAATATCCCAGTGACTAAATGTCCCAGGGAGCAGAAAGGAAAGAGATCCCACTGAGTTGGACTTGATGATCCTTGTGGGCCTCTTTAATTCAGGACACTCTCTGAGGACAAAGCTATCAAGATGATGCTGGCAGCTCTGTGGTTTTAGTCACACCCTTCCATAGACATGAGAGACATTTTCTGGAGTGTGGACCCCAGTAGCCACAGTGAGATCCAGAGTGGGACTCAAATACAAGAGACAGACCCTCTTCTCAACGACTCCATCAAACCAACCCACACAAGGACATATCTGGAACAGCAACTGGCCTCTGGTGTTCAGCTTTAAGCATTTTTGACCCAAACAAATCCATGGATGAA